CCTCAAACTCCTGGGCTCAAGCAATCCTCTTGTCTCAGCCTCCCGAGTTGCTAGGACTACAGGCACACGCCACCACATCCAGCTAATTTTTCTATTTTTTGTAGAGACAGGGTCTCACTCTTGCTCAGTCTGGTCTCAAACTCCTGACCTCAAGTGATCCTCCCACCTAAGCCTTCCAAAGTGCTAGGATTACAGGCGTGAGCTACCTTGCCCAGCCCAAAAACGCATTTTTAACAAAGGCAATACCACTTTGTGTCAACCAATAAATGGCTATTTTTACCTGCAGATGCACACACAGAACAACTGCAATTTCTCCTTAAAATAATTTCCAGGATCATACTGTACAGACCCAAATTACGAAACCTAAGTAAGAAACAGTCCATGACATCTTATGACCTCTTATGGCCAAGAGAGTAATGTCTAAAACATGCAGTTTTCCAGTTCCCAGCCAGAGCTCCTGACTCTACTCCTCCCGTCCCCACATACACACAGAGTGAGGTTCAGCGTCCAGCCCCTGCTGCCAGCAGACCCCAAAGGCACCAGGAATGAAGGCTTTGGAGCTGGCTGGAGGGAAAAGTTGAATGAACACGAATGAGGCTCTGCCAGACGCTCTCACTTTCTGTTTCGTGTCAGTAGCATGTCTTTCCCCCAACTTTTACCTGTATCTCCTTTGTCTTCACACTAACCCCGGAGTTTGGCAATTTAGTATTAGTCCCACTTCAAAGGCTAAAACCTGGCATGCGAATTCAGTAAAGCTTCCTGCTCTGATCATTGAGTTAGCAAACAGCAGACACAGAGTTCCTTCTCCACACTGTCTACAGCTTCGACATTCTCTCAACCCCTTATGTTTTCACAACTTCAAATTTTCGGCCACAATCTAAGCAGATCAACACACAGCATCCACTGCCCTTGTAAAAGCATCACTGCTTCTTCTGAATTCCTAAGCAGCATTCGGATACGCCAGAGAAAGGTTAAGATGACAGCCTCTTGGATCGTCCCCAAAACTTTAAGGAATTATTTCATTCGTCATTGCCAACCTTTTCCCTGGCATGGCACAAACAGAAAGCAATAATAGGTGGACAGCCCACTGGATAAGTGGATGAAGCTGCTCAGGGCCAGAGCTGACCAGCCAGGAGGCCCCCAGCCCCTCTGTGGACCGAGGGCACAAGGAGCTGGACACTCCCGTGACCTGCCTGCTGCCCCACAGAGGCACACCTGCTGGCAAACCTGGACTTACAGTTCTAGAACCCACCGTACATTCCCAGCGGGCCAGACGAAAAGGGATATAAACAAGACAGGGAATAAAAGAGAAACGACAAGACCTTGTAAACCTCAAGGTCTATTTCTCACAGACAGCGGGGAGTTTTCTTTTCCTAACACCGACTTTGGACATGTCAGTGAACTGTAGGGGCTATGAATAAACTACACCCCAGTTCTGCCAGGCATCACGGTCGGGGGTACCCAAATGACCAAAGGAGAATGCGTTTAATAGTGTAATACTGCAAATCTACCACTACGATGGGAAAATCTCTAAAAAAACTCCAAAAAAACTAATGACTAGATAAAGTCTTCCCAAATATTAAGATTATAGCTTGTTTTAATAGCCAGGTATTGGGATTTTTTTCCTAGGTATTGCTACTTTTTAAAGGAAAAACAGAATGTATCTAAAATCTTAACATCTTATTTGGACAAACACAGTATTAATATCATAAGTATTCCAATATCCCTTTGGATTGACCTATGCTTTTGGTAAAAAAAAAAAAGAAAAAGAAACAGAAAAGTATTCCAATACCTTAAAGTAGCTTTTTTCCCTTGTCCTTTCCCCCACCTTTTTTTCTTTCTAGCTCTTAGTTTTTGTTTTGTTTTTTTTTACTATTTTTATGTAAAGCTATCAAACATTCTTGATTTGGGAAAAAATTCGTGCTTTAATTAGAGCAAAAAGCACAGAATTAACAGTTCATTAAAATGCACAAGACTAAATGTGAATGTATCTGTTTATTTAGAGCTTTCAGTGTATAAATTTCAAATAAAATCTATTCAACTGTTGTAGTTTTAAAAATTAAATTATTTTTCCATTCTCTTTCAGGAAAAACTGCAGCACAAATTAACACAGTAGAGAGTAGTGAGTGAAAACAGAATTACATTTAAAACATAGTTTAGAAAACACATGGGCCTCTTTTAGATTAGTAAGTATACTATGTAATTGTTGGTAACAAAAGCCAACAAGAATGAAATACAGACATTATATCTTATGTTTGCATGCATCATAAAGACAACAAAACAAAGTTTTAAATGTTTACTAGAGATTAATATAAACATATAAGTAAGAAAAACCTTTTTTAAATGTTTATCCCAAAGTTTTCTTCTCTGTTCAGCAATAAAAATTTTTACTTTTCAAAAGCGTATGACAGCTGATCAGTACAGATCTCTCACTTCTTTCACACGCACTTTTCATTCTATGACACGCAGTTTAGGTATTAACGATGCCTCTGCAAGTGGAGCAATTTAATGCCCAAACCCGAGTTGCTTCAACGTAACTAGAGAAGACTTAAAGCTAGCGCCGTATCGTATCGAATTGCAGCATACATACTGTATTGCCCCGTGCTAGTCTGATATATGCTAGTCGGTACTGCCATGGTAGCGATGTTAGGTGGGGTTCCTTCTTCCTCTGACCTTTCTTCTTCAATCTTGGGAACACCAGGCACATCAGAGGAAATTTCATTCAGTATTTTTCTAAAATATAATTTAACAGTGTAAGTAACGAAGACATACGGATGAGACTTAAAACAGAAGAGCTTTAAAGGAAGCATCAGTTTGATGCCTAATTATTCTACCTTTTGGGAAAAAAAGGGCCATTACAGTAGGAAACTTAATTAACTTACCTATAAGAGGGTCTTCGTGAAAGGATTTCTCTACGTTTCTGAGAATCGATTACACCTTCTGATTCTGCAGACTCATCTGTCTCTGCAATTGTTGCTACCTATAATACAAGATTTTCTAAAATGCATCATAAAACATAGGGTCTTCTCCCTCGTTCAAAAAATGGCAGTTAAGGGTGCGAGTGTGCAGCACTGAGCCAGGTGCTGTTGGCGGCCACCGAGCAGCGTGACACAGCGAGCAGCTCACCGCCTGGCTCGGGAGAGGAGGCAGGGACACAAACATCTAGGCTGGAAAACACGTATGTGTGTATGGGAAGGGAAGAGACGATGCTACCGAAATGCAATGGCAAGAGTAGCTGGAATGTCACACGAGGCTTCACAGGAAAGGACAAAACATAAAATACACAAGACCTAAGGTCCTAAATCTGGCAGTGCCCTGCAGATCCAGCAGGGAGACAGCGAGCGAGTGACAGAGAACACCTCGTTCTCACCCCTCTGCTCGCAGCTATCACAGCTCTCTTGAGCTGGGTCTTCACTGTCAGCCATAAGATGGGCCCAAAGAAGGAAGAAATAGATAAACAAGTCAGTAAACCAGCCTGGCGAAAGTCAGGGTTTATATGATAAGGAGTAGGTTAGGGCTTGATGGTGGTAGATCTTGAAGGTCCAAATAAGGAATTTCTCCTTAAAAGAAAGATCAGAGTTCTAAGCATGATTTCATTTTCAAGTCAGGTAATAATACGATAATTTGATTATTAAAGAAAGTCCAGAAAATTAAAATAAGCTCTTCAACAACATGACTGCTGTCAGTATATTCAGTTATTTAACTTTGAGGGTCTAGGGTAGCTGAGTGTACAAAGCTCACTTTACTTCATATTATAGTTACATGGGAAATTGATTTGGCAAAATCAAAAGAGCTTATTAAAATATCAACAATGCAAGCAAGAATATATACTTCTCAAAGCGCATGGATGTGTCTATCAATTCACCGACACAAGGCTATGCTTCTCTGGTCATGGACACCCCACATGTGAGCACACGCCCAGTGAAAAGAACTTACTGGAAAAAGTGTTGTTGCATCAGGGAATCATATATCACCACCAACTATTTATCACTTTCCACTGGACTTTCACACATCTGTCATATAATCATAGCAACTTTCTTATGTGAGGTGGGCTATGATTTTACCCATTTTAGAAAGGTGAACACTGAAGTTCATAGAGAGAGATTAAGTGACTTGTTCATGGTCCAACAGACAGGAATTCTAAGACGAGATCCATCAGCACCTGTCTTTACAAAGACAACTGAATCGTTCATTTAACAAAATCCAAAAATAAAAAAAGGCGACCAAATATAAGATAATACTTTCTTGCAATACCAGTCAAGTTAAAACTAAGTAGATCTGGAAGACATCTGTAAGACCAAAAAAAGGGAGGGGAATCTAAGTAGAACTATCTGTACCCCAGTAAAAGTCATAATACAAGAAAGTGAGTGGAAAGACTTTCTTGTTTTACCATTAGTGTCAGAAAGAGTTAGAAACTCTTGGAATCAAGGGTCATCACCAAAAGAGAAAAGAAAAAAGACAAGGGTGAGAATTATTCTTACACTTTTAAGCAACACAGGAAAAGATACCCGTGCTGCAAAGATAACGAAGCTTTTAATATATGTGGACTGCTCACTTCGAACATCATGCTGCTGCCCTCATCCTTACGCTGTGATCGACTCTACTCAAACACGCAGGAAAAGGGCAAGACTGAGCAGGTGTACCTCCACTGTCCTCACAGATTTTTCTGGGTTACCAATTAGGTTCAAATGATTACAGCATTTAAAAGATAATGATAAAATGACCTAAAAACGGAACAGAAATAAATTCAGAAAGAAAAGTAAGAAAAGTATGCTTTAAAAAATGCCTACTTAATAATTTACATCTATTGATGAAAAAAAATGTTTTTAACTTCAAGATATGTCAAAGGTTGATGACCAACCTTGATAATAATGACTAATAAAATACATCTCTGGGTCACAACCACAATAATAATCCTATCTACAAAAGCCAAGGTGTCGTCTCAGATACATGACACATAAACATAACACCAATGTGACAAGAATGTCATATTACTTTCTAAAGATTATATATACTGAATTTAAAATAAACTTATATTTCTATCTACCTACTCATGTGAGTATTCATGAAAACAGCATTGGTACTATAATCTTTATATTACTGAGTTTATCAGACATCTTCTCCAAAGAACCCTTAAAATATTTTTAAGCACCATCGGAGAGCTTGGCTAAATAAATCTGATTTTGAGCAAAGAACAACTTGAAGAAGACAGGAACTGCTCATCTGACAATCGCTCATTCTGCAAAAGAAGAGCTGATAACAAAATTGCAACTCAGGTCAAATCTTATGTGCCGAGCAGGCCACAATGCACTTTATACATAAAAAAGAAATTCTTCCAAATATCTAATAAAAAGATTTGAGCATAAAAGCTACATAAAGAAAAATGATAAAAAAATGAATTAATAAAAGTGAAAAAAAAAAAAGGCTCGGGAAAGTCAAGGACAAATCACCCAGGGAGGAAGCTAACCTGAACGGTTTGTATTTGTGGTGACTGAATGACCGACGGCTGTGGTGTCTGAATTACTCCCTGGACATGTACAGTTTGGCCCGAAGGTAACTGCACTAGAGTTACAGCTGGGGAGCCTCGTCCGGTGCCTGATCCAGCTACAGAAACCTGCAAAAATGATCAGCATGGAGGATTAAAGCTGGACCTTTTTTTTGGTTGTTTTTGTTTATTCTTCAGAAATACCACTTACTCTGATGACTGGCCTAGTTCTCTTCTCTTTTTCCTGCTTCTGAGAAATGACAAACAAGCTGGGGTACTTACCATGAGGGGGTGGTTACTGTCCTGGAACAGTCATTCTCTGAGGTGATAGGTATTAAAGAACACATGCTCCTCACTCTCATGCCCATGCTTCGTTGGCTGAGAATGTTCTAAGCACAAAGTTCCAAAGCGGTTAAACTACCTCACTACGACCTCGCGACTCCTAACAGTGAAGCCTTTTTTAGGCCAGAGTGTAAACTACCCTCTCGAACTTCTTAAGAGAAAGCAGAGGTAGAACTTAAATAGGGTGAATTATTTTCTAATAAATGAAATGTTTGACGTATGTACTCTAGTATTGCTCTAGAGGTAAGCGGATGCTTTTTTCTGTACTGATAAAAATGGCAGCTACTTTTATGCCCTCACAATCACAAGCCAAAGAAATTCCAGGACGCTTCAAGCCCTTAGCGTCTCTGACCCAGAGAGAGCTTACGCCTTGGAGATGGTGAAGCCTCCTAAGACTTTTCGTCTCCACTAGAAGCAGCATCCAGAGAAACAACTGTCTGTCACTCAGCTTGGGCAGAGAGGAGAGAGAAGAGCCATCTCCTACCAACGTTTGAGTACTTTCGACAGAGAGTAAAAAATAATACCTCTACTCCCCTGCACTCAAAACCTGCTAAATTTCCTCATTAGCAAACAACTCTGTCCTATAAGTTAGTATAATTTTAGAAACTTTGCCACATTTTACTAAGATTCGCCATTCATTATGACTCACTCAAAACTAAGACCTCGGAAATGAAATAAGCCACCAGTTTCTGTTATGAGTGGTAGCAGAACCACAGGGTCTAAAACGTTTTTGAAAGAAGCTCTGTGTGTGACCTCGCTTTAGGGAACACGAATTATTTGCAATCTACTTATACTAATACTTTAAAAGAATGATTCAAAACTGGGTTTAGGCCAGGCACGGTGACTCACGCCTGTAATCCTAGCACTCTGGGAGGCCGAGGCGGGAGGATAGCTTGAGGTCAGGAGTTCAATACCAGCTTGAGCAAGAGTGAGACCCTGTCTCTACTATAAATAGAAAAAAATTAGCCAAACAACTAAAAAAATAGAAAAAATTAGCCGGGCACGGTAGTGTGTGCCTGTAGTCCCAGCTACCCGGGAGGCTGAGGAAGGAGGATCGCTTGAGCCCAAGAGTTTGAGGTTGCTGTGAGCTAGGCTGACGCCATGGCACTCTAGCCTAGGCAAGAGAGTGAGACTCTGTCTCAAAACAAAAAATAAACAAACAACAACAACAACAAAAAACTGGGTTTATAACAAATAACTAGAAGATTTATTTACATTGTTCTTTCCTTGGAAAGTAAACTTCTCTGGCAGTCCAAACGCTAAAAATCTTTTACCCATGCAAGAGAATCTATGTGTTGAGCATTGTCCTAGGTGCGCCAGGGTAGAAAGTAGAATTAATAAAACTCACACCTAAAAAACAATAGCACACCAAACCATATAGAACTAATTGCTCCATTTTATAGCCATGAATGTCACAGGAGTACAGAATAGAAACATCAGAACGGGCCTGAATGATAAGTGAAGGCTTTGTGCAAAAGTCAGAGCTTGGGCCAGGCCTTGATCTGAACCTGGATAACACCTGGACAGAAAGCGAGAAACCAGGGCAGAGGAAACCAATATGCAGCCCAAGGGGCACATTCAGCCCGCCTACCCCTAGAGTATTACTGTCCACAGAGTTTTGGGGAAAAGAAAAAGTCACCTCATATGGAACGAGTAGATATAACAGCTACAAGTTAAAAAGCACTGGATTGGAGGCTGAGGCGGGAGGATTGCTTGAGCTCAGGAGTTAGAGACCAGCCTGAGCAAGAGCAAGACTCCATCTCTACTAAAAATAGAAAAATTAGCCAGGCATTGTGGTATGCACCTCTAGAGTCAGCTACTGGGGAGGCTGAGGCAGGGGGATCCCTTGAGCCCAGGAGTTTGAGGTTGCCGTGAGCTAGGCTGACGCCACAGCACTCTAGCCCAGGTGACAGAGTGAGACTATGTCTCAAAAAAAAAAAAAAAGCATTGGATTTATTCTCCAAATGTTCCTAGCACAAAAGGCAACTTTGTACGAATTACAAAAAGGCACCCACCTCTGTGCTAACTGATTACCAAGACACTCCTTTCTCCACACAACTAATTCTCAAACTTTTTCATCTCAGGACATCTTTATTCTCTTAAAAATTATCAATGACTCCAAAGAGCTTTTGTTTATGTGATTTATATTCAGT